GCATATGTTACTCGAAAAATCGTTTCATTGTTGATTCTATTAATGAATTTGATCCACTGATCTATCTGCTGTCTGCACTGGAAGAAACTTTATGTTTTTCAATTCCTAGTAAATGATTTGAAGTCATACATATAAAAATGCTGTCAGCTAAGTTCTGTTGTGTATTGCCCAAAACGATTGAAGGCGATTGCTCAATTGTTTCTGTTGTAGTTGTTGTTGTTGTTGTTGCCAGTGATCGATCCAAGGCCAATTTAATGATTCCAAACGCATTGGCAGGCGCTGTCTGGTTCCCATTGGTGTTGTTGTTGTCGTTGTTGTTGCTGCTGTTGCGTTATTAATGTTGTCGTTCTTCTTCTTCTTCTTGGTGTGGTTGTTGTGAAATGATTAGCAGCAGCGGCAGCAGCTACTCATCACATGACAGTTGGCCCAGCACATTCCGACATCACTAAAAGCAATAAATACCAACTTAACGCACAAAATACCAAACTAATAGTTAAGACGAATCAAGGCAAGGAACAAAAAAGCAAAATCAAAAAAGAAGAAAAGAAATAAAACAAAGAGAAGGAGTAGAAAATAATAAAAATTGAAAAGAAAAACAAGAACGTTTCAGTCGGGCGTTACCGACTGCGGAATACTCATTCACACCCCATAAGTAATTTAGTAGCTAAGTTTCGCACTAATACTGTAGATAATGCAGTTTTACCGATTTTCCACCCCCTACTGGGCGTAGACACCTCATTTTTGGTCGTTTCTTAGAACGAGATAATGGTACCCTAACTGCAAAGTTTGAATGTTTACCCTCATAAAATGAGAACATTACAGGGTATTTTTCGATATGCCTCGCCCCTAAAGAGGCGTAAAAACTATTTTTATATAAATTTGAGGCTTCTAGATATTATACTTTAGGAGATATACATTTTTGCGGTTTGCCGCTCCCCCTGTGGGCGGACATATATCCGACAAAGCTTTTTGATCTTGGGTGATCAGCCCGAGTATATATACAAAATTTGAGGTCTCTGGCATCAATAGAGTCCAAAATATAGCAGAATTTAAGAAATCACTATATCTTCAGGTCCGATTTGCCACGCCCCTAATGGGCGTAGACTTATAATTTTGACTTTATAGAATCATAACATTAGCTGACACGCAAAATTTCAGCGCTCTAGCTGTAAAACTCTTGGAGATACAGTTTGATCCGATTTGCCACGCCCCCAATGGGCGTAGATATATCCGTCATAGCTCGTGATCTTGGGTGGTCGATGCGGATCTATATTCCAAATTTCAAGCTTTCTAGTTCTTCAATTAATATATGCCATAAATCGCATATCGGAAAATGCATTTTCCGATTTGCCACGCCCCTAGTGGGCGGATTCCAAATTTCAAGTATCTAGCTTCAATAGCGCCGAAATAGATTGCATTCATACGGACAGACGGACGGACGGACAGCAAGACGGACATTGCGCAAAACCAATATACTAATTCACTTTCGTGAATGAGTATAAAAAAAACTGGGTAAGCATGCGGACGAACACGCGACGGCAAAAAAGCTGCCCAAGAGAGCGACAATCGAGAATTGAGAATCGTTTGCCAAGTGCGGCCGACAGCTAAGCTGAGCCGATCTGAGCGGCTGTCCAAGTGCAGCCAAAGACCAAGCGTCCGAGTCGGAGTCGGAGTCGTCCGTGTCTATGGCTCGAGTCCCAGTTCGACAACGCGTCCAGCCCTTGCAAAGACTAATTGTAATTCAAGACGGGGGCGATTTTATTATGGGAATTACTACAACTGCAACGCACAATGGTCAAGTCTCTCTCTCTCTCCCTCTCTGGCTCCATCTCTGTGTGTATGAGTGTGTGTGTGTGTGTGTGTGTGTGTGTCAACTTTACCTTAAAAGTTGACTTATGCGCGAAGGTTGCTGCGCTGGCCACAGCAACAGCAACACGCCAGCAACATGCTGCTGCTGTCATCGCTGCTGCTGTTGCTGTTGTTGTTGTAGCTGTTGTTGTTGTCGCTGGTTGAACGTTCAAATTGAAACACTTCGGAGACAAATTGTTATCGTTTAATTTGATCAAACGCACGATCTGACTGTTGATTTTGTGCTCAGCTGCAAAAAAAAAAAAAAAAAAAAAAAAAAACGAGAAGAAGGAAAAACGTTGCCGGCAGCGCGATATGTTGCTGCTGCTGTTGCTGTTGTTGTGGTTGGCGTTGCCGCAAGCATTGCGTGATTTTTATTTGGTAGCAAACATTCGCCGACAGCACAAACAAAGCAAAGACGGCCAACAAAAGGATGTGGGACTTGTGGTCACCTTTTAGACTTCAACGCAATCCCCATTCCATTTGCTCGGCCCCATTGTTGATGTTGCTGTCGCTGTTGTTGTTGCTGTTGCTGTTGTTGTTGTGGCCTTTGGGTCGCCTGTCTGCTGTTTGCTTTTGTTTGGCGATCGGCCGCTGTAGTTTATTGTATTTTCATTTCAATGTCCATCGTCTGGCTGAGAAGCTGGCTGAGTTGGCACAGCCAGCGCCGCTGCCCCAAAGCGCGCGCGCCCTCTCCCGCGCTCTCTAATCCTTTTATGTTGCCAGTCGCCTGTTGTCTGTTGCCTCTTGCCAGTTTCCAGTTGCCACTTGGCAGTTGGCAGTTGCTGCCCTCATCGCCTGACAAATCACTGGCGCAATTTATAGCATTGCTCAGATAATTATTGCAATTGATTGGCCCGTTTACTGCCTGCAGCATTAGACACATTCTACGACATAGACATTACAATTCACATTGGTTTGAATCAAGTCTGATCTACATTCTATAATCTATATTCTATATTCGATATTCGATATTCGATATTCTATATTCGATATTCTATATTCTATATTCTATATTCTATATTCTATATTCTATATTCTATATTCTGTATTCTATATTCTATATTCTATATTCTATATTCTATATTCTATATTCTGTATTCTGTATTCTATATTCTATAT